CCCACCGCTCTCCCTCAGTAGTTCGTGATATTCAAGCCAGCAGTCTAAGGCCCAGTGGTTTCATTCTGCAAATCATTGCAAGACTTGAAGCCAGTATTTTTAACTCTGTGTAGTATAAGCCACAATAAGGAAGGCAGGCTGCCCTTCAAACTGTGCAAATGGCTTTGCCAAATCCTACAGACCTCAAAATAAGAGGCACTGATCAAGCTAATCTAGAGCGTACCTTTAAATTCCCAAGGAAAAGCCTGATCTGAGTCTCTTGCACCTCATGAATGCTTGCTACATTGCCAGGGAGCCTAAACCAGTGGTTTTCAACCCATGGTCTACGGACCCCTGGGGGACCGCAGACTATGTCTAAGGGGTCCACAAAAGATGGCTATGATCAATCAAAAGTACATGAGTATCCACACTTACAATTCAAAGGGGTATGCACCTCCATTCAACATTTTTTTAGGAGTCCACAAATGAAAAAAAGATGAAAACCACTGGGCCTAGCCCAACCTCTGCTCAGCTGTTCATTAAGGCTCCTCACATCCTTAGTCCCAGCCCTCGTCTCTCATAGTAGCTTTAAAATTCACAGGACTGAGACAGTTTTGTGACCACTAGAAGCACTGACTGCAGCAGGATTAACTGCCCACCCCCACATCTGGGGCAATTTTCTTACTGTTAAACAAGCCCACCACTTACAGCGAAACCAGCAGCCCCTCAGGGCACAAGAGTGTCCCTTTTCTTTAACTTACAGTGACTAGCAGGAAGGGGCCCAAAAGTCAATTAAGACCATTAACCACCCCCACCGTATAAACAGCTACTACCACGTTTCTTGTCTGGTTCTACTGGCTATTCTTTTAACCAAAACTGTCTGCATAACAATTTTTCATTCATCCACCAACCGGTTATCAACTTCTTCCCTCTGTCAAAACAAATATTAAAAGAGACTCCACCACTGAAAAACAAGCATCTTTAACTGGATCATTCAGGTTACGCGAATAAAAAAAAAAAAGTCTTACTTACAGGGAGGCTACATGGTTTCCCATTTACTTTCACACACAGATTGGGTGGGAAGTGATCCTCTTGTGGACAACTGGTTTCTGATAAACAAAACCTAAATGCAAAAGGTTTCAAATTACCGTTTGTCTGTAAAGAATGTCTCAAAGGCATAATCTTTAAGAACTGCACATTGCTAGAAATGCATCCAACTGGAGAGTGTTTAAAGAAATTGAGAAGGTGCAATATGCTGAATGAACCCTTCAGCTTTGATGCAGTAACTGTTGAGTTGTTCTGTATGGTGATGTGGAACAATAGACAAAAAAAGGCCCAAAAAGGAGCCCAGAAGCAGATCAAAGCAGTTTGAGGTACTTCCTAGTGTCTCTCTGAGCAAGCCAGGGGATCCTGTCTCACAAAGATGCTACTCAGAGAGACACGTTCCTACTACAGGCAACTGGAGTGTCTGCCCAGTTTTCCACCCGCTGCTGTACCTTCCTTGCCTCATCTCAGCTCACCAAAAACTAAGGTTTCTGCAGAGGAGAAAACACATGCTGCCTCTCCAACAATCCCTCCTTCCCCTTGGGTAATACAGACCACCTGCTGCAACTAAGATTTCCACTATCAGTCTAATAGCTGAAGGCAAGGAGTTCTGCTGTCTAGTTCAGCTGGTTACAGCATGGTACTAATAGCACTAAGGTTGTAGGTTTGATCCCTGGTTGGACTAGATGATCTCTTGAGGCCCCTTCCAACCTTACTTATCTGTGAAAGGTAGAGGTGCAGCCTGCAGAGCCCCATTACCTAGCCCCTGGTGCTGCCCCTGGGTCTGAAGTGGACCCACATGTGCGGCCAGTGACACTGCTGTATGCAATGCTTGCCCTAACCAGTCCAGGACCCCAGCCGCTCCACGGTGGGCACCATATGCAGTGTAGGCCCCAGAGAGGCCAGAGCAAGTGCCGCATGCTGCACACGTCCTGGAGTGGCTGGGGCAGGCATGGTGTATAACATACCCTGCTCAACATCTGGAATGGCAGGGGTGGGCCCTGTGGGCCTGATCCAGCCATGTGCCGTTTATCTAGCCCACGGACCAGCCCTGCAACAGTCATCTGGCCCATGGGGCCAAATGAGTTTGATGCCCCTGCTCTATAACACTAGCTCTGGGAAGCCCAGACACCGAAAAAAAAAAATCAACAACAGATCTGGAATGGAAGCAGGGGACATCTGCACAACCTGAAACGGGAGACACAGGGAACTTGTGGTCCTACCAGGGCGCATAAGGAGCTGGAGGATAGCAGCACAGAACCACCACTCAAGGCCGAGACCTCAGGATGAACCCAGCTGCTGCCTATGACTCCCTTCCCACCGTTACCAAATAGGAGTAGATTTATTTCTCCGGAAAAAAACAAAAATGATTCCTCTAAGGACACATCAATGGGAAAGCTTGGTAACAGAGAATCACGTTTTCTATCTATATAAGAACGCACTGGTCCCCAAATGTACTGTAAGGATACTGTACCTTAACTGGACCTGTACTGTGAAGTCACATTTGGTCCCAGAAATGTCCCTAGAAAAGACGAAACAAATAGATTAAAAGGGGTCACAGATAAAAATGACTGAAAAGCATTAATGCCCCAACAAAATGTACAGCAGTTCATCTATTGTGAGGGAACGGTCCTCCAACCAGGGATTTACCAGATGGCTCAGCTGTGAACCAATGCCCAGTGAACTCACTGGAAGATTCCCGCTGCCTGGAGAAGGTGCAAGAGTGGGTCCCGAGTGAGCAGTTACACCATCTTCTTTCTTGCACCACATCTCCAGGCCCAGGGGCTGCTGTGGAAAGCACCTTCCTTCCTCTGGTCTGTCAAACTATCGTCTTCCATTCTGCTAAACTGCTCCTGAAAATTCATCCCTAGCCAGAGGCCCACAATATTCAAATCAATTATATACTCGCATCTAAACTCAACAACTTCCTTGTTTTTTTATGCATTATAAAGGAAACTGTATTTGAGCCACTGTGATGTACGAATGCCCCCAACTGACTTATCACATCACCTGAACAGGGCCCGTTTCTCTGTTCTGGGACCCTGGTCCATAGCATTCCTATATAATAACACAAACAAATCACGCCACTAGCCTCCATCCCTTCCATTTAGATGGTGATTTTTTCCAGGCACTGCCTTTCTCATGCCTTCTGTGAAATCCCAAGCATTTCCAGATGTCAGAAGAGGGTTTTATTTTATTATTATTATTATTAAAAGGTTACTATTAACTAAACTGCTCCAGCTTCAGAGCTGAGAAATACTGTACTGAGGAATTTACGGAAACTCACATTGAACTGCTGATTTGCTGCACCTGTTGCGGTGTCAACGCAAAAGCAAAACAGGTTTCTCGAAAGCGCTGGCTATTATCTGATGCTGAAAGAAAACAAGAGAGCGTTACTTTAAAATGCAACGTCACAGAAAGCATCGGTCAAATGATGCCTTCAATTAGAATAAACTCAAAAAAGATTAATATATTTATACCAAGCATGTTACTGCATTACATGTATCTGTTATTAGTTTTCAGAACATGTTTGAAAAAACGACTAGGTAGTTGTCTTTGTTACGCTTTTATAACTTAAAATGAAAGAAAAAATAAAGTACAAGAGAATAACCAGGTATTCTAATCGGGGCGGGGGGGAGAAACAAGGGAGCACAGGAGAGCTAGGGAGCGAGAGAAAATTGTAAAGCACACAGCAGGCAAAGAAACAGTTTTCTATCGGTGTAAGAGAAATCAAAGAGCTCAACATTGTTAAGACCTGCTTGGTCCTTAAATACAAAGCAAATGGAAATGCTTTCAAGGAAGGTTAGCAGTCCAGGTTTTCCTTAACTCACATTAGAAACACACTCATGGACTGGCCTGTAAAAGGTATGCCAATTGTGCAAGAGACAAAAATACGACTTTTGCAGCTGAATAAAACGCACTACTTCTTTTTTAAGCCACAAAAAGGAAACCCTGAGTTGTGCACCACATCCAATCGGTGGTGTGTAGACGGCTTGCTACACACAAACTAGTCGGTTAGAACGGTCAGGCTTCATTTCTCAAAGAACAAACCTGCCAGCCTCGGGTAACGAGGTCCCCATACTAAAACACATTAGATAACAATACATTCATCCGGTGGAGAATAAAGGAAATCCTAAGCTATCCAAGCATGACACCAGTGCACGGACAGGCAAAGTCTGGCTCACGGGCCGGATCAGGCCCACAGCAAACTCCATTTCCCAGCAGCCCCCGCCTGCTTCACTGCAGTCAGTTTCCATGGAGACCCCAACGAGCAGCAGAGCCATGACAGCGCAGGATCACCGTTTCCTTGGAAACCAGCCCCAGCAGTGCTGGCAGGGCGCACGGCAGGGGAGGGCAGCTGCTCGGGGGCTGGTGGTGGGCGACAGGGCGGTCCGGAGCTGGGGCAGAGCTGCCATCCGCTGCGTGTCAGGATATTGCAAGAACCACCGTGGGGTTACATACAACCATCTGCGGATCACGCTCGTCCAACCCTGCCGCTGTTGAAGTGGTAGGTTCCCGGGCACTTTAATGAGGAAATGCATCCCTGGACATTTTCCCGTGCCCATCACCACGATATCAGGATGCAAGTTATGACAAAAAGGCTCAGCGTTCAGTCTCACTGCTCTCATAGTCTGTATCACAGCCTCAGAATATTTTGTATTTGAAACCAATAATTTTATACTTTTCTACTATAAGCCTCTAATTCGTTCTGGAGGAACAGCACGTGGGGGAGGGCAAACTGGGAAACCCAAATCTCACCGCTGGGGAAGGAAAGAGCATATGGCAGCTCAGAGCCAAGTTTAAAATGAACATCTTGCAGATATTTGTTTCTTAACAGCAGTGACCAAATTACATTCATTTCTCCACTCTCTCAACAGGACAAGATTTGTGAATTATTAGTGCACAATGACCACATACAGAACAGCTCATTTATAAAAGTCATGCTATTAAGTCATTATTGTGGTTAAAATATACCATGAACAACAGCTTTATAATAGGGCTTAGAGAGTTTGCTTGTTTTTAACAATTAACATTTGTGTATAAACCATCAATAAAGGCAACGATAAAAACACACATGTAAATGGTAACAACTTATGAAACTGCCACTAAATTTTATATACTGTATTTTAAACTGTACAAGTCATCGCTGTATAAGCCAACCCTATATTGCCCTACAAAATTTAGGATTTTTGTAGATCTAATGTATAAGTCGACCCCGCCTCACTAGGGAGGGGACTGTGCATGAGGCGCTGGACACCTAGGTGGGCTTGCGGAAGAGGCGGCATGCTGGCGGGCTTCAGAGAAGGTGGATCGGGTCCCTGGGAGCTTGGGCAGCGCACGGCCCGCTGGCAGCCTGCTTGGCTGGGCCCAAGGGGGAAGAGATTGGGGCCCCTGCAGTTAAAGGGCTCCCTGGCCCCCAAGGTTGGGGGGGGGGGTGCTGCAGGCTCTGCCAAAAAAGCAGGTGCTACTTCTGCCTTCAACAGGATGCCTGGTGCCACCCAGGAAGAGACCAGCTTACCCCACGGGCAGCACAGGGTGTCGGTGGGGGGGGGGGGGGGGGGGGGGGGGGAGAAGGAAACCAAACTTAAAACCCTACAAAAACAAGACACTTCACTGCTCATACTTTTCCCTCAGGGGAAAGAATGAGAGAATAGACCATCCTTGCCCGACACCCCATGCTGTCCCCAAGGCAAACCAGCCCCTTCCCAGGCAATGCCAGGCATCCTTCCAGCTGCAGGAGCCTGCTGAAAGCAGAAGCAGCCAAGTGCCTGATCCTGCCCCCCGCCCCCCCCTTACACACACTGGTGGCCAGGGAACAAGCTACCACCAGGCCGGGCAGCCCCTGAGCTGTGGAGGGCCCAATCCTTTGCTCCATGGTGGCGGCACCCCTTGGGCCAGGCCGGGCAGGCTGCCAGTGGGCTGTGCGCTGCTCGAGCACCAAAGGGCCCGATCCACCTTCCCCACAGACCACCAGCATGCTGCCTCCCTGTGCGGCAGCGCGCTGGCCAAAGCACTGATACAGTGTATAAGTCAAGGTGGAAATCTAAGGGTAAATTTTTGGAGGTCAAACCTCCACTTATACACCGTGAAATATGGTATATTAAAAAACCTCCTGTTTGTTCTCACTCGCTAACTTTCTGGCTTTTAGGCCAAGCCACTTCCTCTACAACCCTTGTGCAGCATATACTCTGAATGCTTAAAGAGGTGGCATGGATTTGAACAAGGACAGGGATTATTGATATATTATGTGCCCAAAGGTCCCAATCAGGATTAGAGGAAACAGCATATAGCAGCAATCTAACAGTTTGCTAATGAATCCCATCTGCCTGACATTGCCCATCGCCACCGATCCTTCCGCAAAGTAAATCCAGAACACGTCCCTGCCCCTCCAAACCCACTAGCACTTTCTGGTCAAAGGCTCAAGATCCCAGCCTAGGGCAATTTAAGAATGGGGCAAGTAAAAACACAGTGTAAACAAATTCTACATGTATTACCTGCACAACCAGCTACAGAGACACCAAACCTACATTACATGTTGTATTTAGCCCAAAACTGGCCACTTACCTTATCTAATATGCTGAACTACAAAGGAGTATTTTAAAAAGAAAAAAGATGCATGTCCCTTCCCCCTCCTCACCTCTCCATAAAAGTGGCCTGAGTGACTCCCATTTTGATATTTTCAATTTACTGTCTGATTTACCTTAAATATTTCAAGTCTCCATTAGCTACAGAAGCCCCTGAAGGATAAGGCTGCTGAATGTTTAACAAAAGCTTCCTTTATTTAAAATGTAATTATTCAGTGAAGTTAAAGAGGTGTTAACAATACAAAGTTCTAAAACAGCCCGACTAAAAATCTCTTCTTACTCCGATTTCTACTTTCTTGGCTCTTGCAGCATTGCCATTAGTCTAGCTGGGATTTAAATGGCTAATGGGGAAGGGGCTGAGAATGTGATAGAGGGCTGGGGGCCTGGCGGGGGGAAATCAAAATATGTAAGACTGTACTTATACTTCATAAAGCAGCAAAGATGGCCATAAGTTTGATTTCCCATCTTCTTCTTTTTAGGTTACCTTTAAATGTAAAAATTTTTGTTTTCTTCCAGAAGCACAAAGACTCATGACCTTGAAACATAACTTCCAGTCTTCTGCATACAAGATCCTAGTGCTTCCCAGTGCAGCCAGAATAAATATTACAATCTTAAAAAGTGGAAGAAAATGTAGAAGTACATTCCTCTTCGTTGACATGAGAGATCCCATAAGCCAAACTTCTCCACGTGTTATAACTTAGGAGCATTTATAATGATAACAGACAACCTTGCTTGAACTAATACAGCTCCAAAATACTTAATCGACAGAAACCATCACCTTCTAAACTCATATATATATGTAAATACTAAATATATATAAATATTAAAATGTCAGAGAAATGTAAATCTTTACGTTGTTTTTTCCAATTTACGGTTTGTAAGAACTTTACGTAGGTTTAACGTGCAGAAAAAAAGCAAGACAAAAATGTGGTTTCTTTAACCATCATTTTCAGTTTACGTTCCAGCAGAATGGAAAGTTTCCAAGGATTTTTCTTATATTTGGCTACCAACTGAATACTCATCCATCTCCATATTTGTGACCGAAGTCAGCAGGTTGATAGACCAGTGGTCCCCAGGGATCTGCAGATGTGCCTGATCACATGCTGCTGGCTCTTCTCCCCACTCCCAGCTGCAAAATTGTATTAAAAACACATATGCAATATTTTCCAAATACTATTTTCCTCAGCGAGCAATCACTCTAGCTGTCACAGGAATGATGCAAAAAAGGACTTGTAAATTAATGGAAAATTGGTACAGGAATCACTATGCACCTTAAAAGGTTTCAGAAACCCTGGCAGATACAGCAGCAAAAAAAACCCTCCAAAACAGCCCATTCACTGTCATCAGCACCAGCAGGAACACACAAAACAGTATGTCAATTAAGTAACTGCCTCAAGAAGCATGGAGGCCAACACGGTGTGACATGACCTCCACATCTCATGACCCGCTCAACTCTGAAGTGTAACAAGCCTTCCAAAACAAAAGGATTTTAACTTTAAGCATGCCTAATTGTACAATTTGGTGTGCACTTTACTAACAGAGTTTAAGCTTGTAAAATTAACGTACTTCAGCAAATCAGAGTAATTACCCGAAACACTTCCTAAGCTCTAACAGTTTAGGAGTACATAGCAGTACAGAACGAAGCACAGGCTCATTTACCAGAGACGTCTTGACAGGATAAATTAGGCCACTCCAAGCTCCATGCTGCCATAGCTCAACTGTCGCCAGTATTAGCCAGCTAGTTTAAAGCTAACTTGTGCTGTCCAAATGCTTCACTGCAAATACCC